TTGATCTAAAAAAAAAAAAATTGAAAAAAAAAAAAAATTTGTTTGAGGAGTCATCCCAGCATCCATGGGTTCAGATCTCAAGATAACGGGTTGCCAGTTTAATTTAACTCAACTTATAAAAGGAGACTCACTACTAAAATAACAGTAGAGCTCATCGATCACTCCACCAAAACGAAAGGATACACTTCATACTTTATCAACTTTAATAATTAAAAATATTTTGTACATAAAATTAGGAAAAAGTTACATAGAAAAGGTCAAAAAAACGATGAATGAAGACTGTACCAAATAAAGTGTAGTCTCCATCTTGAATGACAGGAAGAGCTCCAAAGGGCTGCATATGAAGATAAATCAATGTTAAAAGATCACCAAGTTCAATTGTGTTTACATCATCGATTTAGGAGAGATTAGCAAGGAAAAAACTTTAAAAAAAAAAAAAAATGTAAAATTAGGATCAAACTATAGGGGATCAAATTAAAACTGAACTTAAAACTATATTGATCAAAATAAAATTAGGATCAAATTGTAGGGGTCTCATATAGATAAGTAGGTATGAATGGCAAGAAGAGAGAGAGAACCTGTAGTTGGAGAAATTCAGGAAGGTTGTGTTCCCCTTTGATGATATCAATGGGAACAGTCTCAAATTCAATCCCTTTCTCAATTAGACAAACGATCACACGCTTTGGGGAAGCATAGAGTGGACCATACACCTTCACCACCATTATTGTTCCTAGCGCTAGCTCTCTCTCTCTCTCTCTTCTTCACAGTACAAAGACCAAACTGTCGTTCATGGGCTTCTTATTGTGCCTTTCCCTTTGTCTTGATTTGGTGGTTTTTTGTTTTTTTTTTTGGAACTGGTCTTGATTTGGAGATTGATTGTAACTTTGTACTAACTTTTTACTAATTCTAATAATAGGACAAAATATCATTATATTTCTTAAATTATTCTTTAAAAATTAATTTTAACTCTTATTTTTTTTAATAATACTAATTTTATACTTAAATTATTTAATTTTAAATCAATTTTACTTCTACCGTAGGGGATCATTATAATCAAATAAAAATTATTGACGTGACAACGAAATTTCATTCAAAATTTTGTTTTACCCTTTAAATTGTCTTTAAAATATCAATTTCTTCCAAATTTCATTTTACTCAGAGGTTTATTTGATACTTTGGAATAGTTAGGGATAACAGAAAATATCAAATGAAATTTAGGTGTTACATTAACAACTTTTATTTGTTTATAACCGACAATTGACGGTGGAATAAAATTGATACAAAATCAAATAATTTATGTATAAAATTGATATTATTAAAAGAATACGGGCTGAATTAATTTTTGAGTAATAGTTTGGAGGATAAAATAATATTTTCTCTAATAATAAGGCATATGCTTGTCTACGGTCCAAAATTGAACTATAGCATATTGTTGGGCTTCGTGGGCCCATTATGGAACCCATATCAATGATCCAAATGTTCAATGTGTAGGACTTGTCACATACTTTATGTCTGAAAAAAATTACATTTATTGGATATCTTTAGCTACTTGATCAGTTTAAATTTGTGTCAATGGCAACTATGATTTTAAAAATAAATTGTTGACATAAATGTATTTTGATCAAGTGATTATTGATATCCGATTAACATAATTTTTTTACAAAAATATAGTATTCAATGAACCTTATATATTAAACGATTTAATTTATTAATATGGGTATTGTGATAGACCCGCAGAAACCCAACAATAACCCGAGTTGGGAAATCCAAATGGAGGAACGTATCTCAATAATAAATGGGCAATTAAGTTGGTATCAAACCACGTACGTACTCAGATGATAAAGATTGCAGTTAGGTGATTTTGTTGTCTTGTTAACCGCATCATCCTCTTTAATCAACTGGGTTGTTTTGAATATAAGTGTGACCAACGAACCAAGTCGTTCAAGTTCAATAGTTTATTAATTGGTTTGGGAAGTGGGTTGACTTTTTAATTTTTTAATTTTTTTGACTATTTTAGTTTGGGCTAAAAACTTGGTTGGGAAGGGCTTTTTGGCTTTTTGATTTTTTTACTTTTTTTTGTGAGAAAAGAGTGTAATGATTATGGATTGGATGTGATGTTTTGTATTTTGTGACTAAAATAGCCTATTTTATGACTAAAATAGCCTATTTTATCTTTTGTGGTTAAAATAGCCAAAAAAGCCCATAACCCAACTTGCCAAACGGATGCTAGGGACTGGTTTACATTTTTTAAAAAAGTCAAAAAATTAAAAAATTACTAAAAAAATTAAAAAATTATCACTATTTATCAAAAAAAATATTAAAAAAATTAATTTTACACAAAAAAAAGTACAACTTACTTTTCACGTGAGTTGTACTTTAGCTAATTTTGGTTGAACAAAGGGAACATGCGGGTGCACAAACAAGATGGTGTTGTTCAGTCCCTGGGGGTCCATCATGAATCCCGTTTTGATAATCTGAACCGTTCAATGTGTAGAACTCGTCGAGTACTATATGTTTATTAAAAAACAAGTTGATCGGATATCACTAACTACATGATCAAATCAGTTTTGTATAAAAAAATTAGATAGTGTTATAGTTAACGATTGAAAAAAAAACTAATCCGATTAGATATGTATCGATATCCAATCAATGTGATTTTTGACAAACATATAGTACTCGATGAGTTTTACACGTTGAATTGTTCCGATTAGCAAAACGGGACCCATGGTGGGCCCTCCACGGGCCGAACAACACCGTTCAATTCAATGCCTGAAAAAGGAGGCAAGCATCTCCTATACACTACTTTGCACAATGCTGTTACCGTACTGCCCACTGTACTGCCTACTTGCCAAAAAGTTTTTTCTATACACTAATTTATATAATTTTTTAATATACATTTTTTTGTAAAAAGTTAAAAAATATCCCAAACAACCATATTTTTGCCTCGGCTCGGGAGCTTGGGTACGATTGGGGAAGGTCAACTATGAGCACCCCCTCTCGGCCGATCCGAAGATCGGTCTCTACTAACCGTGATATCCGTTTTTGAAAACGTTATGTGTTCTTATTCCGGTTATTAGTCTAGAATTACTACGTTATACGCACAGCAAACAAGTATAGATCAAATCACTTGAATTGGAACGAAGCATTGCATATCCATTTGTTTGAAAAACAGCTTGAAATTTGCTACTCGCAAGTAGGCTAAAGCACGGATTTCAACGAGTTGTTCCAACTCAAAACAATCCAACCTTCACCCACAGACATTCAAGCAGTTTATATCACATAAGCATCTAGTCTCATGGTAATCATGCTATTATGGCAACACTCACACGCATGCGGTATGCTAAAGTATAAATGCTTGCCTAGTACTCCGAGCCAAAACAAAAACATGTTAGCAATCAATGCATGATCCAAGTCCATGTTAAGTGGCTAATGCAACGCATACAGAATGTCACTAGAGTAGGCTCAACTAGTCTATAAATGATATGTGAAAATGCACAAGTAGCATGTATTCAAGTTAGATTTGAAATACTTATGCAGTTAGTATGATGTACCGAGCCTGGTGCATGCAAGACTAATGAATGATGCACGTATGCATAGCATAAGGTATGCTAAAGTAAACATATCCTAATACTAACCATCAAAAGCAGGTAAGTAAAAGGGAGAAAGAAGTGGGGGTTGGAAGACATGCACACACGCACCCACACTTATTACAGATTTGCCCTCGCTCGGATGGACCGAAAGAATAATACAAGTTAATTAACCTACAAACTAATTAAATATTACAGACCAATTAATTAATTAACAAATTAACTAATCTAATGAAAGCAGTAAACAGCCTCGGGAAGAGGGCCCAATGCACTGCGTGCTCGATTCCACTCGGATGTCACTGCCATGCACAAGCTGCCTCTGCTTTGACTGTTCTGCTTCTCTGAAGACTGCACAAGTCCCAAGGTTGCTTCTCTGAGTGCTGTGGAGCACCACCGGCCAAGTGGGAATACCACCGGCCATAGAGAATGGTCACCGGCTGCAAACTTATGCTCTCGGCCAAACATGTTTTGCCGGTCGGCACCCAACACTGCCGGCCGGCCAATTCCTCTTGCTGAAACCTGCAGTTGACA